AAAAAAAATCTTCTGTAGAAATATTACTGTACATACCTTGTTGGGAGGAATGAGATCAAAATGTTCCCACACAGGGGACATCCTCCTCTTCTTAGCTGGCTCCATTCTCTCCTGACTCTCTCTCCTCACTCTCCTAAATCTCCAAACTCTCTCCAAACTATCTCAAACTCTATCCAAACTGTCACTGACCGCAACTCTCCATCAAACACCCACATTTTGAATGGAGCCTGAGGGGGTTGTATCGCTGTCAAAACTGGCAAAATCCGAACCACTTCCTGAATCAGTCACGTGGTATAGCCGGGCAGCGAGGCTTCGGACGTCATCATTTTCAGCTCCTCCCCTAAATGACGCAAGCCTCGATACGCGCATCGCGGAAACGCCCCCTCCCCTATTCGGCACACGCTTCGAAGCCTCGATACGGAACGTCACATCACTATTTATTAGCAGTGGACATGGCCAAGTCATCCCATTAGGGAGCAGAGGGCCAGAAATAAGTTACTGACACTCGCCGACTTTTCCGCCCCCTGCTGTGCATTGTGTACATGATGCAGAATAATTATGCATTTTATATAGATGTCTGGTAATTTAAGCACAAATGCTTGTAGGAATGTGAACCATAATCTGACCAATACTGAAACAATGTAGGTATTAAAGCCTGGGCTCTTTGCAATATACAGTAGGTAATAACACACATTTAAAGGACCTGATTATTAAAGATGATCGGGTGCTTCTGTAGTTGTGGTAGCCCTTTGTCTACACCCTTGGCATTGGACAAGAAATCAGAATTTCCATGTTGGCAATGGGCTATACCACTGAAGGAGTGATGGGTTTTAAAAGTCATAGGGTGAAGACCTGTACATATATAATCCTCTCCTCACCTACTATGCTGGAGGTTTCCCACAGCAAAATCAAGTTTCATCAGAATATTATCTACATCATCCATGTGCACACACTGATAGATGGATGCTGCCAATAGGTGCTGGAGGAGGTCTTACTCAAACACCAGGGGCTCCCCATTAACAATGAACTATCTGGTGCCAGCTCGTGGTTAAGATAAACATTTCCCCCCCATTATATTTAAAAAACTTCTGCTATATTTTCATCTTTCATAGGTAAATTGATATATGCTATGATTCAGGCTAAGAAATGGACTAAATCGTTCATGACATGTTTCACAGACCAGTGCTTCAGAATTGTAGTTGGTGATTTCTCAACCTGGGGCTGTTGGTTCCACCTTTCAACTGTAGTGATTGATGCTTTCACAGGGACCACTGAATATCAGTGGTTGCATGTTATTCAGCTTTGAAAACAGAATACAGAAACCTTAGTTGTACCGCCATATCCAGTAAGTGCTGGGTGGTTTTATTGAAACAGTATCTCAATCCAATCTGCCTGAAAACTGGAATGAGAGGTCCCACTGACAATCTGCTTACATTTTCTCCTTTTTTAAACATACATGATCGTACATGAATGAAATGCTGCTCATCAAAGAAAGAGCAGTTATCTTTTCCACAACTGTTCTATATAATGAATACATGGCATCAGAAGCGACTGCAGTGATGCACCACCACAGCTTATCACAATATATTGCGTATCAATATTCTTCCTGGTGATGCATTTGCAAAAAGTTTGTGGATTTTCATGGAGTGACTGACACGTGAGTCAGCTTTACTCTTCATTAGTGTCCCTTTTGCTGGTCTCCTGTCCTTCGAAGATGGGGTACTTGCTCTCCACTTCTGCCCAGGTCAACGTGCCATTGGCCAAGTCCCGAACAATCGCAGGCAAATCACTGACCTGAGGAGAGAAGAAGTGTCTCGCTTGATTGTGTGAAATGTGGTGTGTAATTAAAAATTAAATGCTCCACTGAGTAATGAATGATTCTTTGAAACAATGTCAAGTGCTTCACCCAGGACTATTAATTTTTCAGGGAACATGTTCATGAAAACAGAATTATCCTGTTTGGAGATGTAAGAGCATCACAAAATAGGCTTTTCAAAGTGTGATGGCCTTAAGGGCAACACATGCTGGCTGCTTTGTGTAGTGCCACTTCATTTGACACCTGTGGCACAAACTGAGCGCGTCATAAAGACAGGAAAAAAAATTCATGGTACATTAGTCACGACGTGCGAATTCAGGCAGAAAATCTGAGAAAACTGCTGCTGAGCTATGGCACAGAGGAATACTTTATGAACTGTATGCACGTCTATACAGAAAATAAGTGGACTGTTTCTTTTTACACCCTTCTACACAAGAGCTACTACAAAGTGACTGATTTAGACACAGGTGTATGTGAAGTAAAGAAGTTTTAAACGAAACTAAATAATAGAAAGTGTGCTGTACCTCGGCCCTGATCTGCCTCATTGAGTCTCGGTCTCGCAGAGTGGCTGTGTGAGGCTGCTTATTCACTGTGTCAAAGTCAATGGTGATGCCAAATGCTACTCCAATCTCGTCTGTCCGAGCGTAACGCCTCCCAATGGATCCGGAAGAGTCGTCCACTTTGTGAGAAACACTGTTTCTGGTCATCGCCTCAGCTGAGAGGGACAAAATGAAAAAAGTTAACCAAGAATGTAGGACATGCCATTTCTTCTCTTCAGACAAAACCAGAATATGCATGATAGTTATGTGGGCACTTACATAGCTCCTTCACAAAGGGCATGAATTCCTGGTTTTGGCTCAGGGGCAGCACAGAACATTTAAACGGAGCTACAGTGGCAGGGAAGCTAAAATACTGTATAAAAGAAAGCAAATGGTCATTTCAGATAACCAGTGAACTAAAATTGCTTTACATGCAACAGTGTTCAAAAGGAGTGGATGATGCAGGAGACTGGGGCTAAAACTTGGCGATACTGCCATGTACAGTGGGTACGGAAAGTATTCAGACCCCCTTAAATTTTTCACTCTTTGTTATATTGCCGCCATATGCTAAAATCATTTAAGTTCATTTTTTTCCTCATTAATGTACACACAGCACCCCATATTGACAGAAAAACACAGAATTTTTGACATTTTTGCAGATTTATTAAAAAAGAAAAACTGAAATATCACATGGTCATAAGTATTCAGACCCTTTGCTGTGACACTCATATATTTAACTTAGGTGCTGTCCATTTCTTCTGATCATCCCTGAGATGGTTCTACACCTTCATTTGAGTCCAGCTGTGTTTGATTATACTGATTGGACGTGATTAGGAAAGCCACACACCTGTCTATATAAGACCCTACAGCTCACAGTGTATGTCAGAGCAAATGAGAATCATGAGGTCAAAGGAACTGCCTGAAGAGCTCAGAGACAGAATTGTGGCAAGGCACAGATCTGGCCAAGGTTACAAAAAAAATTTCTGCTGCACTTAAGGTTCCTAAGAGCACAGTGGCCTCCATAATCCTTAAATGGAAGATGTTTGGGACGACCAGAACCCTTCCTAGAGCTGGCCGTCTGGCCAAACTGAGCTATCGGGGGAGAAGAGCCTTGGTGAGAGCGGTACAGAAGAACCCAAAGATGACTGTGGCTGAGTTCCAGAGATGCAGTCGGGAGATGGGAGAAAGTTGTAGAAAGTCAACCATCACTGCAGCCCTCCTCCAGTCGGGGCTTTATGGCAGAGTGGCCCGACGGAAGCCTCTCCTCAGTGCAAGACACATGAAAGCCTGCATGGAGTTTGCTAAAAAACACCTGACGGACTCCAAGGTGGTGAGAAATAAGATTCTCTGGTCTGATGAGACCAAGATAGAACTTTTTGGCCTTAATTCTAAGTGGTATGTGTGGAGAAAACCAGGCACTGCTCATCACCTGTCCAATACAGTCTCAATAGTGAAGCATGGTGGTGGCAGCATCATGCTATGGGGGTGTTTTTCAGCTGCAGGGACCGGACGACTGGTTGCAATCGAGGGAAGGATGAATGTGGCCAAGTACAGGGATATCCTGGACGAACACCTTCTCCAGAGTGCTCAGGACCTCAGACTGGGCCGAAGGTTCACCTTCCAACAAGACAATGACCCTAAGCACACAGCTAAAATAACGAAGGAGTGGCTTCACAACAACTCCGTGACTGTTCTTGAATGGCCCCGCCAGAGCCCTGACTTAAACCCAATTGAGCATCTCTGGAGAGACCTGAAAATGGCTGCTCACCAACGTTTACCATCCAACCTGACAGAACTGGAGAGGATCTGCAAGGAGGAATGGCAGAGGATCCCCAAATGCAGGTGTGAAAAACTTGTTGCATCATTCCCAAAAAGACTCATGGCTGTATTAGCTCAAAGGGGTGCTTCTACTAAATACTGAGCAAAGGGTCTGAATACTTATGACCATGTGATATTTCAGTTTTCCTTATATATATATATACACATACCATATATATACTGTATATCCCCCCTTTACAGTTGGTATTGCCAGCAACATAGCATGTACCTGTCATGATTCCATGCACTTCCTGTTCTGAGCTTTTATTTTGGTGCACTTCCACTGTCCCAATCACTCCTTCCCTGTGTCAGCTTATTGCACTCATCTGCCTACCAGGTCCAAAGCTAAGTCAAGTTCATTTGTATAGTCCAATAATACAATGTTTCAAGAGGCTTCACATCAGTAGCTTTTCCAGATCCACCGTAAGTTTGCTGTCATCTCTATCAGACTGACACCTCGACAGCAGTTAATCCTGTCTTAGCTATCAATCCGATACTGTAGTTGTAGGTTGCGCACATCATCCAACAGACTGTGCACTTGCATAGTGCCGTTTGAGCCTTGGAGGAAAAGGAAACATTGCCTCAGTCATTCACTAGAATAGATAGACTGGTCAGTTGTTTACCTTTGATTTTTCACTGAAAAGGTGAAGAAAGTAAAGCGAGAGATTGTGGTTAAAATGTGGAGGTAGGCTCAGATGAACTAATATTTCAGTAAATGTAAAATCAGCTGGGTTTATTTTAAAGCAGCCCTCTATTTTTATAGTAATTTGTGCTGCTCATTTCATAATGTTAGTCTTGGATCTGGCTGGGTGAGAGTGCAGAGCTGCATTAGATTAGCCATCTGCACAGTGTAAAAACAGACCTCTTCTGCTTAAAAGGGACATGCAGGGATGAGATGATGGTAACGCTATCTTGGTAGTCACATGTAGTACCAGTCACATTACCTACACTTCATATTCACACATCAGAATGAGAGAGGCAATTGACACAGGTGATCAGTTCCCTGTATGTCTATGACTGACTATAATTAAATCATGTGTACATACCTAAGTATGGTCTGGACTCAGCCACATCAAAACAGCGTGAACCTTCTCTGCTCATAGAGAAGCTGAACCTGATGAGGACATGGCAAGGGCGTTGTCCATTAAATAAAACCCCTGAGTTTTCTCAAAGCTTTCTGGGGTTTTAAAGCTGCTTTTTAGGTGGTCCGGCAGAAAGTAAGGCACTGGAGGGCTCTCAGGGTCTGTACAGTGTTTTCCCTGGGTCCTAGTATAAAAGCTAAATGTTATTTTTCTTTCTTTTCTCTCCTTCACTACTGAACTTGTTTTCTCTTGCTGTCCCCTTAATGAGACATCAAAGGACTTTTCTAGCCAGAGTTGTGATTTGGTGCTGTGTGAAGTCATTGGACTGGCACTCCTGCCAGTGTTGGATGAAACATGTAGGTAGTGGGTATAGTGAAAATCCATCTGGACAAGAGCATCAGAAGGCCTGAGTATGAACATACATCAGGAGACCATTTCTATTACATGTAGTCTCCTCATACTCTCTGTTATAATGTGAGATGGCAGTGCAGTCCCATAAAAGTTCCTCCATTCTTCCTCTCACCTTTTGAATTCTGTCCATCTTGTTGACACAAAATCTTTTTCGGCCAGGGAAGGGAGGGAATTCATTGTTTCTCAGATCATTCAATACCTGAGACAGTTAATAATAATAATAATAATAATCTGAGAGTCATGTATGCTAAAGTTCTGGATAAAAGCTATAGCATGGTCTAAGAGGTTATTGTGTGAGACAGTATTGCTGGATATGATGGATATGGCATTATATCTACATCAAATGAATTCCATTTATACTGAAGTTCACAAAGATTATGACAGTTGTGTGATGCATAGTTACACTCCAATTCACTTTTCTTTAAAAACCCCATCCATGTGAATTGACGTCTTTTCAGGGTTTAGACTTAATAGCATAAATGTGAACATAACGGTACAGTCACACACTTAAGGGAACTTCCTCTCTGCAAAGAGAGCTGAATGGAAATGGGGCACTGGTGAAAAGAGACATGCATAATTAGCCACTGCACTCAACATATATGTTCATGTACTTTTTGTGTAATCATTGCAAGACTTGCTGCTTAAATTTTGTTTCCCACTTAACCTTTATAGCCTCATGTATTATAATGGAACAGACATAAGATGTTGCATCAAAAAAAATCTTTTTCTCTAAACTTAGGGTGCTTTCACTAATCACTGTATATGTAAGACAAATGATCTGATGATGTGATAGATGTCTCTGCCAACTCATGCAAAACCTTAGGTGTGTACACTCAGATCTTTTACGCACTAACCATGAACCCCAGATGCACAAACAGAAATAGTAATGTGATCTGCCACTTTTTCCCACAAGGCAGAAATATGCACATAAATCATTTCCTACACTGTGTTTTGGGGGATTTATAGGAATAATAGGTCATCTCTGCTATTCCCATCCAGTTCCCTCAGTGCAGTCCCTGGGAAAAACACTCCACAGATCTTAACCTTTGATCACTTTGGGTTTTTAGTTGCAGTGTTACCTTTTGCTAACCTCATGGCCCCTAAACTATGTGTTTCCATAGAGTTACCTGCCCAGTCTAATCTCAGATAGCTTTGAAACAGTGGCAGGCTGGTGCATAACAGTGTTTTGGCACATGTCCACATGACTCTTTTCTGCTGTTTGATCATGTTGGTTTTTCTGGGAGGGTCTGCTGGTAAAACACGAAGACTGCTTGTAGAATAATATCACTACTGTTACGTTTAATAACTGTCTTTATCATGTGTCGTTTTCAGCTGTGAAGTTTATTATTATTTTGTCTATAGCTGAGTTTCTGGTAAGTATGTGTAATGTGGCAAATTCACCAAATACAGTAGATACAGTATGTTTGTAAAATGTTGCTGTTTCTTATTTACAGTCAGGATAATGCCCGACAATGTCATAGTCAATGCTGATTAGTTGATTATAGAAATGAACACACATGCTGTCATTTGGAGCAGTTTGTCTACTAATCACATGGGCTGGCAGTTCAATCCCTGGCTCCTCCTAGTACACAGGGGCAGATCTAGAAAATTTTGTGTGGGGTGACCAGGCTGGGGCATAGACTCAGAGAGGGGTCACGCATTTGAAAAGTAAATTGATCACCTAGTTTTATGAAATAATAAAGCATGCATTATTAAAAATCTAACTGCTGATTTTGTGTAAAAATAAGATGTACAGTGCCACCCCTGGCCACCCCCTGGATCCGCACATGCTGAGCCACACATGAAAGAGGTCATTAGGCAAGACAGGGAACCCCAGGGTTTTCCCAGTGAGCCAGGCCAGTGCCTTCCATGGCTGCTCTGCTGTCATCATTACATGAATTGGTGAATGAGGGGCAAAACTGTAATGCATTTTCTTCTTTATACTAGAAAAGCACTATATAAGTAGATACACATCAATGTACCCATTTACCATTATCAAATGACCTTAGCAAAAGTCAACTGAATTATCTAATAATACATTTCCATTTAATTTTTCAGGCTAACATTTGTTAAACACTGCATCAGTGTGT